TTAATTTCTCATTCAAACTAATAGCTATCATGTGGTGAAAGCTAGACAGAATAGTGAATTATAATTATAATATCAAAAGGAAGTTGAAAAATATGTTGAAAATATTTTTCACGGATTTATGAGCTTGGTATACGTAACCTGAGTTTTCTGCCACTTCAAATTCCCTTTAAAGATTTTATTTCATGTAAATTCACAGCAGCGTAGAAAGTAGCTAATTATTTATTGCTGTGTGAAATAAATTTGAAGAGTGGTTGCATGTACACGTTCATTGTTTTAAATCATCAGAGAATGAACACCTTCTAAGTATACAACGTCTGATATTTTCCCAGGTTACCTGACATCCATCTACGGTAGCTATATATACCGGCGCCAACAAACATTAACTTCTAATTAATCTAACTAAAATCTGCTTCCATTATCCAGATATATTATTACAAATTATGAGCAAAATTTCAGCAGTGATTGAAACTGCAGGCAAACTAACACGTCTTGCTGATAAAAGTCGAAATCGACGGTTTTGACAAAAACAGCTTTATCAGAAGAACAGTATGCGAAGATGTGCCCATGATCACTATATTTTACTTGGATGTTCAATGCACCTGCTGATAAGTTACAAACAGGCAAACAAATACAGAAAAACTATTTGAAGAATGTCAAAATGCGTGCTTCGTTTTCTTTCGTGCGCTAGTTTTGAATGACCATCTAAATCCACTCTTTGATCGTATTATTTTGTTAACTGGTCTTGTTTATCCGTCTTGATGCGAATTTAAGACACGTTTCCCGTCTAGACTAGTTTCTGCTCAAACTTTTAACGTGTATTAAGAAGTTAGCTGGGAGAGTTTCAATGAGAAAATCACATTCACATCAGACGAGCTTCCCGCCTAAACGAGTTTTCTGGCTCTAATGTGAAATCGGCTATTCATGCATTTAAGCATCTTATTTTACATCACCTCATACACCCTACATAAAGCAACTATTGCACATATTTTAAACCATGCAAGGCGTACATTTTACTTATAAACATGCAAACAGAAACTATACGTAGCTCTACTACATATTTATTATATATATTTGTTTATATAAACTAAATCATGTTTAAATATTGGTTATCCAGGCCTTATATTAGTTAAAAATAAAAGTTTCTCCGGATTTTCACAAATAATCTTATTGAGCTTTCGACTCGTTGCTTCGAGCCTTCATCAGAATGAGGAAATTATCTATTTACACTTGCTTTTTGAGCGTCTAATTGGATTAGCGAGTGGATTAATGTGATTGGATGGGGGTGAAATGCGTTGCCATGGGTTTTGGTGTTTTGTGAATATGATCGGTGTTAATATTATTAGAGTGTAATGTTGTAGTTTTGGTGTTCTTTGTAGTTTTTTTGTCCTTTTTCTTTAGTTGTGAGTATATGATGGGTATTTCGATATGTCTGTTTATTGTGTCGTTGTCTTTACTGTACAAGGTTCTTTAAATTCGCGTGCGTGTTTAGTCTGTGCGCGTCCGAGTACTTTAGTTTCTGTCCAGTCGAATGTGTGGTTGTTTCCGTGGGTATGTTCCGCCGGTAGTGAGTTCGGATCTCGTCGTTTTATGGCGTTTTTGTGTTCTGTGAGTCTTGTTTCGATTTTCTTTGATGTTTATCTTATGTATTGTTTTGAGCAGTCTTTACACGCTAAAATTCATAATTACACTGTTAGAAATATGTTCCACTTGAAAATTTTGGAAGCAAAAAATAGTCTTTCAGGCATGTTCAAAATTCTCATGTCAGCAATTTCAATTTCCGCGTGTTTGGATTGGATGGCCTGATTCAAATACGGGTATCGATCAATCAAAGTGAGCGTTTTTTGTTGTTTGACAATGAATTTTGAAAATTAAGTACAAAATTTTTCAGTTGCTGAAAGTGTAACTGTTCTATAAATGTTGCTTATGGTAGGGTGTCCGCTTCTTAGCTATAACAAACAACGGAATCTTAGCTATAACAAACAACTTTTTTGAAACAGTAGCTAATATACAAAACATTGCAGGTGATCCTCAATTTAATTGGTTTTAAATGCACATGCTGATATGTTAAAATTAGCTTACAATAATTGCAAAATAAAACTATGTTAAGAATTTTAAAGGCGTCTTTTAGTCTTTGATATTATCGCCGAAATCATTCTTCAGTGATAAAAAAAGTGACACATGCTGCTACAGGAATAATTTCAGTTATTTTTATGCAGAATTGTCATTAAAGAATTCAAAAGAATCATTTGTGAAAACCTCTCATTCATTAAAATCCTAATAGCCATCAAAGTGAGTGGGTTGATTTTTTTTCTCGTGAATTCATATCTTGCAGGAAAGATACGGAAATCGAAAGCAATGTTATTATAATTGCACATGGAAATTGAGAAATCGACTACAAAATTAAGATTTTCGTCAATTTTGATATTTGGTAAAGTGCATCACTGCAACTTTTGTAATAATTGATCAATGCTCTATAATGTACACTGAGTTTTGCTGCAGAAGCTTAGAGCATATGCCATCAAGAATGCATACAAAGGTATGCGATTTCTCGCCACCGTATAAAACATATATATTTAATATTCCATACTGTTTTCTGTCAAGGCAAGAGATACATTTTGCTGAAAAGAAAACAGAAATGTATCGAGTGATTAGGAAAAGCAAGTCTGTTAACAATTCTTTTTTCCTTAAATGTGGAATATATAAGTAGTTTTGAGTCTAATGAAAACTTATTACATATAAAGGATTGTAAAGAAGTAAGTGATTCCCTATTTATCTCGCTATGTCATCTTGTTTGTGTAACATGCCAGTGTATCCACCTGCCTCAAAAATCGACTACAAGGGGCACTTTGAAAGTGAATTTTATACAGTATTGACTGATTCTTACAAAATCATGTAGAACGTGTGAGTATATTTGTTGAAAGTTTCGCAATGCTGTAGGTAACGTTGTTCTCAAACTCCTGCAGCCAATGCGCCCAACTCATACAGAATTATGGATCGTACACGATAGATGTCGCGAAGTCGAAAAAAGAGTGTTTTCATTAAATAGTAATCTAAGAAGTTCAGCTGATATTTAATGTTCTAATGGCAATGCACATGCCGATAAGAAGCACTTGCCTTAAAGCCAGTTTAAGCAAAGTCATGCAGTTAAAACAACGACGACCAAATGGAAATTCATATTTATTTCTTGCAAAAGAATGTCGAACAATTTAAAGTTAAAAAGCTTAACACTTTGTCACTCGTTAGCAACACTATTCTGGGTAAGAGCAGTACTGCTGCACTTAACATGATTTATCGATGCTGCTTCATTTTTCCTTGTTTTTGTTCTTGTCCTCTGGAATGTTGGTTGTGCAAGATTATATTTTAAAACTATGTCATGCAGTGAATGGAACATCAACTGAATAACAAATTATGATTTGGGAAAGGAAATTCCAAAGTACTCGCTAATTGTTTATTGATTTCGGTAGAAACAAAAACCATGCAAATGAATTTGAAAACATCCTCTGATGTATTTCGAAACAAAGTGCGATAAATAAATACTATGCAGTCACAACATTTCATTTATTGCCTACCATCCAGACTGAGGTGAACACACATCAATTTTTTGTGAAATTACCATAGTCATTGGATATCTATAAAAGAAAGGTACTTGAAATAAAACTATTGATTTTCCTTGTCTTTGATGCTTCTTTTACGTGATATAGCGGTATGAAATTTGGTTGTTTCATGATATTTTATAGAAATAGCTATCTTTTGTTTGTAACATGTAGCAAGCGGAAAATGTTCCAGCCCTGTAACTTCAAAGAGTAAAAGGATAAATTTAAGTATGAAGTGCAACCCATAATTAAAGATATTTCAAACAGAATTTAAGCCATTTGATAAACAAAAATATGGTAGATCCAATTTTCTTCGTCTGATGCTATTATACTTTACTTTCAATACTATTTTGCTACATCATTATATATAGAGTTATAAATGTAAATATTTAGCATAATGTTTCGAAAGGAGCTGTGCCGATATTATCATTGCAATCATAAAAGCTTAGACTATACTTGCTGGCTTTTGATATGATATAGATTTTCTTAGGAGGGTCTTAAATTTTCGGTGCGTGGGTAAATTCCTAAAAACTTTTGAAAAAATTTGTTTGTTAGAAAATTAGCTGTTTCCTCTGACATACCAGGTTCCTTTTCATTCCTGGACTGCGTGGCTTTTATAATTGGAACTGGTGTCATTTCGACATTCATACAGTTGAATGGCAGCGATGTCAAAGTCAATCAATCTACTTTAGTGTTTACTTTCTTATCAAAATTTCTTTACTCATTTCTTTGCTGAGCTTTCATAAAATTCAAATGGACTCTCACTCTGTACACGCCCCCTCCCAAATAATCAACCAAAGAAAATTTTTGGAATCACATGGCCAACAATTTACGTTCAATCTATACGTTACAAAAGAGATTTAATGCGTTGTGCATAGTTCGTTCTTCTTTATGATATAACTGAGATATGATTGTTGCGTAGTAACTACTACTAGCGTACAGATAAGTTTACTTTAAAGAAGTATTCAGGAGAATACGGCAAGTTTGAACGTTGTAGCTATGTCGTATCTATGATAGCTAAAGTGGATGACTAAAGAATTACAATCTTTTGCAGTGCATGGCAAGGGAAGCCCAATCTTCACTTCTATACTATGCTGAACTTTTACTTCATTGTGTGAAAATAATTGCCATCTATTGTTTTTCCAGTGATTGAACATAAAAAATTCACACTGTAGCCTTTGCTTCGCTACTGATATTCTGTTAACTTTATTTTTGATCAATATATTTTGTTGACTCATTCATATATACCTTTTATTGTACTATACAATTTCATCTCCATCTTAAAAATATTAATTTAAACATAGAATCCTGCACCTTTACTGGTTCTCCCTTCCTTGGTAAGTAATATCTTATTTGTCTCAGACTTCTTGTAATTCATAGCGCCTCAAAGTTCACACAGTGTAAAGACCCTGTGACGGTGTTAGAAGAAAACATCAATAGACGACAGTGACCATCATGTTTGATGTTAGTTTTACAAATTTGAAACGTATGAAATGAGTTGTGTTATTTAATACTCCAGAAACTATGTAAATTGCGTATTTAGGTGTGAAAATGACATAGTAACATGAAAATCTGAACGCACACCTTCTGTAGCTTTAATAATTAAATATACAATTTCTTCCAAGCTTATGCGAGCCTATATCATTTACATAAAATGCTTACAATAGTTGCATAGTAGCATTTGATAAAAGTGTTCAGTCTTAAATATGCAAATTTAAATGAGCGACTGTGAGTGTGCAGCCTGAAATATTTTATTTTGAAAATAACTTCGAACCTCATATAATTTACTTTTGATATTAGCTAACATTAACTTTGAGTTGTAGCTATATAACTTTCAATATCATTGAATGTGAAAGTTTGTTTCATCAATCTCGTAATATAGTTGCGAATTTAGGTACATCAAAATAAATGACTGCACCTTATTTTGGATTTTTATATTTCCGAATATTTTGAGGAAACTTCATTGGTAAAATTTTATTCTTTAAAATCGATAAAACAGTTTTGTTCTGAAGGTATTTTGAATTTAAAATTAATACCTATAATGTATTTTGAGGAACGCTTGATCCGCTACAGTCGTGATACTTAACGTAGTATTTATCATCAAAGTGCAATTTAACCCGTGAATGGTTGAATGTTGACTTTGAATAAACGTTAAATTTTTTGTACACAGGAAGAGCTAGCTGCACGACACATTTTGCATCTTGTTGATGGTTACTAAAATTTCACTATGTCAATCAAAGTAAAGACTCGGCAATATTTTTTAACTACATAAACATTGTTGTCTCAGAAAATGACAGTGAACGTAACATAACGAAAGATTTTACGACAAAGAATCTCGCCAAACCATATCATAGGTGTAGGAAAATTAGTATTTTTGGGGAAGGGAACGGAGGGCCATATTAGGCATGTTATAATTCATCGAAAACAGTAGATGTCAAAGGAATTTAATACTGCTTATCATAACTAAGAGCACTCTTTTCTATGCCAATGCACTGCTTATCGTTAAAACACAATTTCAATGAAGTTCAATTTCTCGCTATAATTTAGCATGACGAGCAAGTGGATATTTGTTGTGATCTTTTGCGTCCTAACAATTTCCACGAACATCGCTGACAGCATATGCTGCAATAGAATTAAGGAATTGGTGCAAAAAAAGAAAAACGCCTTTGCAACTCTTTGTGCATCAGGAAACAATCTCCCTCAGGGTTGCTGTGACGATATTAAGAAGGAAGTAAAGTCGTTTGAGGATGCATACCAGTCGTTATGTGTTAATTCATGTAAGTTGACAACCACAATAAGAACATAATATGGGCTCATATTTACAGAAATAGATCAATTAATATAAAATGGATCTGAACACTAATGACTGCACAATAGTTCTGTATAAAAGCATGATATATGAACGTACAAAATGGAATGAAATTTTCAAATGCTAATTCAATCTAAGCTACAGGGGCGTAAAGCTACCAGGTTTATTTAAAGAATGGAAGATGTGACACAATTAATTTGTTTATTAAAAGCTATGCGGTCAGCAAATATTAAACAGTAACATGAACACGCATTGTTTTGAGAAAAAATCATGAATGAATGGGCCACAGTCACGTGCTCTTTGGACAATAAGTGCCAACAACTTAGATGATTTGTTTACAGTCCAAAGTCAAGCTGTTAATTTGAAACCATGCAATGTGCTATGCCATGGCAATGTAAATTGATGAAACAATATTTTAAGTTTTGTAAAAAGAGCAGGTAATAAGAAGTTTTCTTAATTGCTTTCCAAAACGCAAACTTGTATCAAATGACAGTTTCTTGATGTTTTATGTTTCTAAAACAGGTCATACTTAAAGCTAGCGGCTTAAAGCTAAGCTTACAAAAGGTTCATATATGATTTTATTGTCATTCCTAGCAAACATCCTGGGGAACTCGAGCATTCTAAAGAATAAGCCGCAATGGATAACTCAGCTTCAAAATGGCTGCCATCGAACTTAAGAGGTCATAAGACGGTGCTCTGTTACAGAGCAACCGTGAATGGTTGGAGCTCAAACAAATTCCACAGTCTTTGTGACTCGAAGGGACCAACACTAGTCATTATCAAAAAAGGATCGTATGTGTTTGGGGATTTGCATCGCAATCTTGGGGAGGTGGTAAGCTTGAGAAAATTAGACAACTGTATAATAATGTAGCTGTGTTAAGCTAATAATATAAACAAAACACAGAAAACTATTTTATCTTGTAAATGACGTATTGGCAAGTAGAAAGGAATTTTAGACTTAATAGCTTATGCATGTATCTATGAATACAAATTGCATGAAAACTTTTTATTTCGGCCAACACATGCATGTATGCCAATATTAACTAAGAAAAACTACGAAATGTTTACAATAGAGGCATGAAAAAGATTAATCATCAAAATTATCGAGCTCCGACTATTGAAAAATTACAAGTAATTAACATTATCTTTCACAAGTTAAACAATATCGGTTATGATTGGTCAACTGCAAATAATTCTCGATATCTGTAAGTATGACGTCATGTCTACAAATAATAGTTTCTACAATAAAACAATTATTGAATTTGACCTTCGCATTATATCATGAATTATTCAAACCTTGGTCAATGTTATAGTTGTCAATGTCTTGCCACCTACAAAGTATTGAAAATTATCTGTAGGCGTCGTAATTGTTTATGTGAAAATTGTAAACTAAAAAGTATGATCTTGCTCGAGATTTGCAAACGTTTTACAAACTACTTTTGCTCATATTATTGAATATAAAGACGTAAAACAATTGAAAGGATTGCTGTCAGTCAGGAGAGTTTTGATGAGTATTATCGGAAAAAGACAAAAGCGAAATGCAAAAGTTTTGGCTTGATTGATTTTTCACTCTATACGAAATCCAGCATTATTTTGTGATGCTTTTGCAATCGGCTTATTGTTGGAATCGTTAAACAAATCTTGACAAAATCACAAATAACCATATAAAAGTTGACTTTCAATAAGTCGTTGGATTTTTCTATGGAGAGAAAATAAGCAATATGAGCTATCTCTGTATAAGGAGCATCCAACTAAATTGTTGTTATGAAATTCTCTTTAATTATAGAGTGGTCGTTACATAAGAGCACCAAATTCCTTTATTTTCTCGTTCAAAAACAAGGATGGTCTAAAACCTTTCAAATCCACGATCTATAGATATCAGCAATACGCAATGTACACAAATACATACTATGGACCAACATTTGGAGGTGGTCATGACATTTATATCGCCAACAATGCTGGGTCCTATTCAATTCATACACAAACTTTGGTTACGTATACAAGCTCCCATCTGGCTATTCCTACGGAAGCACAAAAGCAAAGAACTTATTGGCTGGCTCGTACAAGTTTTCTCCAAACGAAGTAGAAGTTTTTATTTTTCTGCACGTAAGTTAGCAACAAAATTTTATTTAAATTATAAATATATAGTTTTATTGAGTTTAAATAAGATAAAATATGGTGGCTTGATACATACAAGAATCTTGCAATGCAGGAAATATATCACAAGGGCATGACTTTTTAATATATGACCTAGCTATATAGGAAAATAAGGAACGTGTATAAAAATATAAAAAGGAATGCATTTCTCGAATCTGACTTCAAGCCTTACATTTTGCACTATCTAAACTACAGAAATATGGCTGTTAGAGGTGATGAAGGATGGTTTGTGTGCGTGTGTGTGTTTATAAGTGTTCGTGTAGGAGAGGTGTCAAACTGTTATGCTATTTCATAGATGTCGAGCTTTCACTCATCGTCAAACTGTACCATATGCATGAACTTAAAGATAATTTTCATAAATAACTGTGCAGTGGCTATTAGCTTTTATTAAAACTTCATATGTTTCTCTTCCTAGCCAGAAAGTAGGGTTACGTCATGTTTAGAGCATGCTTAGCAATATGCGCTTACAATTAGCGGCGTAACTATAGAGGAGGAGCTCTGCGTGTCAGAGCTGTAGGCACCAACAGTGTTGCCACTCACTATTTTACAAATTCCCAAGATTTTGAGCAAAAAGTCCCAAGATCCTTTAAAATATCCCAAGATCCCCCACAATCGTTTCTGGGGGGACCCCTTTGTCATGGGTACACGATTAGCCGCACTAATGAACGCATAATGTAAGGACTGGAATGAATTGATTTTTGTTTTAATTTTAATTTCATAAAAATCGATAGTTTATGTATATAAGTGTTGAAATGATTAAATATAGTTCGTGAAACGCAACAGTACATAAAAGTCAAACATGGTGATGGTAAAATCGTTGAAACAGCCAAATCGACAACATGCTAAGTGCTAACAGACCCTATCTCAACAGTCTCTTCGTTTACAATGTCATAAACATCAGTCACATTTCTTCCTGTTCTGACGCTGACAATGTTTCTTAAAGTACTCCCTCCGACAATGACCAAATTGTACGTCTTTTACAAGTTTCGTAGACGGCTCCCACGTGTAGCAATGCGCACCTTCGAGCAATAGCTTGTATAATTAATCTGTTCCTCAAAGTTGAACAATGTAGGCGGTTGGTTTTAGGAGTCTTTATCATGTTAACAGGAAAAAAATTCTCTCGACACAGGCAGATGAGTGAGGCAAAACAAGCAGGTTGCATAAAATTTCCCAAAGTTCAAACTTTTATTGCCGTTACCATCTTTAATAGCTCTGATCTCATCCAAAACTGTGTTGGGGAATTAGTCATGCCTTTAAGAGAGTCTGTGGCATATAACAATTGCCTCCACTGATTATCAAGTTCATCAATTGATCTTCAGACACTAAAGACGGAAAATGGTGTGCTAATACCGCTATCAGTTTAATGACCGCCTGCTGGATAATGCCTCTGAAGGGTTGACTGCTGATAGCAAAGCTAGAACTCCATCACTTTTGAAAGAAACCTCTTCTTTATTTGGTCACATAACTCGCTTGAAAGTTACGGCAATCGTTTCTGAAACGTTGTTCTTGGCTTCACAAAGACTGTTGGGTGCACAGGACTGTACATCTTCCTCCAAGATGAATATCGTTGAGAGGCTTGTATAGCTTTACGTCATTTGATCAATCTCGTCCAACGGTGTTTCTCGTACGACTTTTGTCGTGGATAACATAAGCCAAAATGCTTCATATCATCCGATATAGAACTGTACAGTGTGTGCAGCTTGAAATCTAGACCTGAAATTCAGCATTTAATCTGTCCACTTTGACAATATGGATTTAGGAATGCCATAATATGCTTGGTTCCATTCGTCGTCATGGTTTCATAGATCTTGACTGCCCCGTCTGCACGATCACATGGAGACTCAGATTGAAAAAAATTTTAATGCATATTTCTAAATTCTGGCAACAACAGCCTCGGGAGAGCCATCTCTCGTCTGAAAGCTTGAGAACTTTATGACGAGGCGCTTCAACAATATCTTGTGAGACGGAACTGGTTATTGTCGCCGACTGCTACAGGAAAAATAACAGCAGACATCTTTCACAAATGCTTCCAACCATGAAGGTAGGCGACAACTTGCATAGTGTGCGCAGAAAGCGGAAGTGACAAATGCGACCAAAGACAAATACACCAGGTACATCTTTTAAAGACGTGTCACACTTATTTATAAATTCATAATACGAGATAATATTACCTATAAAATATTTAAACAAAATATCCCAAGATTTTACAATATTTCGAAAAAAACTCCCAAGATCCCAAGCTTGGCAGAAAATCCCAAGATCTTGGGAGAAATCCCAAGGCATTGCAACATGAGCGTGACTACAAGACCAGAATGCACGGCATTTTCATTAAAATGAATAGGCATATGGTCTATTGATAATTTCATTGGCAACATCTACATTCTTTTAGATTAACCAAGAGAAGGGGCGGCACTTACCACAATTGCACCTAAGAAAGTTCTCTGTCAAAGCTTCGGCAACAATAAATAAACAAATTTTCCAACTTTACCAAGAATCAAGAGGAACTTCATTTTGCATTCTGCGTTCGAGCTCTTCTGTTTGGCGTCTTTGTTCTTCTGTCTCTATTATAGTTTCTAACCACTCATCATCAGCAAGTGGTTTCTTTTCTACGCTGCAGCTTGGCCGTACTCAAAATCGCCATCGGTGTTTCGGAGCGCATTTAATGACGATTGATCTTCGTCTTCGAAATCGAATTCCCGACTGTTCAATTCAATATTTTCCGCTGTTGTTGCTGTATTCGACTCAGAATCGGATGTCGACATGTTTCGTACAATTTTATATTAATTTCAAAGCAATATATAAAGAATTATTTCACACTGTGTTGTTTTGTATGCAGCGCATTCACGTTCCTTGACGTCACAAACCTCGTCTTTAGTCCCCTCAGAGGCGCGGAAATTTTTCTAAAGCAAGTTAATTCAAACCCCATAAAACTTTTGTTTTATTTTTGAAATTTTCTTCGAAATCATATTTTCTACAGTCTAAACTTTAAAAGTTCAACGATTTGGGAAGGCTGTATGTGCACTTTATGTTACGTCACAGAGACTTGATCCAGGCCCTATGCCAATTATCAACTTTACTGTCAAATTTCATATTTGATCAATAATAATTCAAAACAACGCAGCGCAAAAAAATTGTAATATAAGTTTCAGATTACTTTTGAAGAAGCAATACGAAAGTGCTATAAAAATTGTGAGATATGCACTTTAAGTGCGACATAAAAATCACACACTATCTAATCTTTCGCAGTCATTTCTCCATTTATGGCAAGATTTGCTCCTAGGTATTTCAAATCAAGTAATAAGTTGAGTGAAATTGCTGTCTTCAAATAGTTATGAAGTGATTTTATAGCCCTACTTATTGAGTGTCAGTGTGGTGGAGTTTTAGAATGCGGACGTTAATGTATGTGCCTTGTGCAAAATTTTAAATCAAATGACCAAATAACTGTCTAACCCTTTCTAATTTGCCAAATGCCCTTCCAGCCTTCCTTACATTTAATGTCACATAATTGTGGTCACATCTATTGTTCATCATTATACACAGAATAATAAAATACATATATAAGAGCCACTTAATTGAAATCTTTTGGATCGCATATATCTATTAAGCATGTGATTTTCATAATGGCAACCAGTCAATTGCCGTTCATCACTAATAAACATCATACAGTGTTGCAGAATATTGTGCTCCAGTTTGGTCTCGCTCTAAACACATGAATAAGTTAGATGCATTGCTAAATGACACAATGCGAATAATTTCTGGAACATTAAAATCAACTCCAACCCCTTGGCTACCTGTAATGAGTGCTATAGCTCCACCTAACATACGCAGACAGGAAGCAGCACAGAAACAACATCATCGCATTGAAAATACACAAATTGACACTGCACTAAAAACTATTATCCAGTCTGCCCCAACTACTTCGAGACAAAAATCACGAAAACCTTTTCATAACTCCAAGATTGAATCGTTTGATTTCAACAATACATGGAAGGAACAATGGTCGAAAATAAACCAAGGGGTGCTGATCTAATTAAAGATCCCACAAATCTCCCTCTCCCTGGTTTCAGGAAACTAACTCGTAAACAATGGAGCACTTGTAACCGAATTAGATCGAAACAGGGCAGAACAGCAAACAACCTATACCGATGGGGCTACAAAGACTCAACAACTTGCCCATCATGTAACGTCACCAACCAGAATATGGATTATATCATCCTGCAATGTCCGTTCACACGCATTGAAGGCGGCTACGCAACAGTGCATAAAGCAGATGATGACTTCGCAAGCTGGCTTGATGAGACACACATGGAGGTGTGACTACCATACGAAACTACTACTACTAATAAACATGAAATGACATATTGCAGCAAAGAAGTCTAATTAAATATATACAATAATGTACAGTGAAGCGATCCTTGATTTTGCATTTTCATTATTGTTTGGTTTCAGGGTTGTAATGGCTATTTATTATCAGCTACAAGTTTGGCTTTGATTTTTATAATAAGTTTCAGTTCACAATATTCAAATGTAATCTTCGTAGTGTTAAGTGACAAAAGCAACTATGAGTAGTGAGAACAATGCAAAGAAAGACGTAAAATGTGTAAAAGGGTTAAATGACAAAGACTTTTTCAGCCAAAAAATGTTTCAAGACTAACGTTTATTTTACATACAAGCAGCTGGCGGAATCCCATTTAAATGTATGCGTATGCATGATATATTTAGAAAAATCAGGTGATTAATTCAAATTCAAACATTGTAGTTGTTTATGCATCCTATAGCTGTGTATTGATATCATAAACCTTATGCAAAGTAATTCTTATTACTAACCTTCTTTTCATCGCAGCCGTGTGTTCTTCTATCAATAGCATGAACTCCATAATGAATGAATAGTACGGTGACATCTCAAATACCCTTAAAAAATACCATTTTTCTCCTCAACCTTAGCCGATTAATTTGTGTATGCAAAAGTGCTAGATAAAACGAAAGCTGATAGAAGAAAGCAGATAGACGAAATCCAATTGTTAGCTGCAGATGCGTTAAGATGTTATCCTGCTCTTCAAAAATTGACTAAAACAAACTATCATTCCAGGTAGATGTCCTTACTAGCACTATGATGCAACTGAAGATCTCAAAACCTAAACTTATATAGCAGTTTACACACAATGACCTAAAGTCATCATCATCTATAGAGGAATCTTACAAGACAACAGCATGTCGAAAAGAAAAGTTTTGTTGCAATTAATAAGTGCAAAATAAGTATTTCAATTCTCATTTAAGGAATTACAATATTGGTTTCTTTGCATAGTTATTGAATGATTACAATTATTATCTATGAGATTATTTGCTACGTGCGACAGCTAATTCGGTTAATTTAACAAAAAAGAAACCATCCTTGACACATTTTATTCGTGAATGGTCCGATTATTATGAGGAGAAATAGAACACTTCAATTTCGTTTGGACGAAATTGGTAGGAGCCACAACAATTTCTTTGCTTTGTTGCTCGCGTACGAATAGCCTGATGGGAGCTTGTACGTATGACCAAAGTTTGTGTACGAGCTTGTGCTGGTTCTGGCATTGTTGCCGATTTTCAAATCATGACCACCTCCAAACGTGGGTCCATAGCTGCTGCTTGTGTACATTGCATATTGTTGATATCTATATATTGAGGATTTGAAAGGGGCCAGACCAGCCGGGTTTTTAAGAGAAAAAATAAAAGAATCTGATGCTCTTATGTAACGGCTACTTCCTACAAATAAACAACATAAGACAATTACATTTCAATTAGAAATTCTTATTGCTTTCTTTAGTGATTATTTGTTAGTAATTTCCATTCCTTTTTGGTGAGTCAAAAAGATATTATATATTTATGCATGACAAATTTCTGAGTTCTGATTGGTTAAAAGCAATGAAAATTTCAGAGAAACACCAGTGCAAAAAGCGAAACACCAGTGCTGATTTCTCTTCTAATGATATACATGAAAAATTTCTCAATTCTGATTGGTTTAGAGGAGGAAATTTATCGTAAATACCAGTGCAAAAATAGGAAACACAGTGCAAAAAAAAGAAATACAGTGCAATTTTTTTTTGGAAAATGCGCTCCTGACTGGTTAGTCAAACAAAAAATGATCTAAGAGCCAATCAAAATAAAACATTTCAAAAGCGGGAAAGTTAAATTATTGTAAACAAAGCAATTACAACGACTGGCTAAGTTTTTTTTAGCAAAGTGGATTTTCTTTAGGGAAGGAGTATACAGTTTACCGTTTGCAAAGTGTTTCTGGATGAAAATAACAATACTGCTAAAAGTAGATACCTTGTTCTAGCTGCGTGTGCAGAAGTTATGGTGCCGTAAAAATAATATCCGACGGAATTGAAAAATACCAACCGGTTGATCAATGATTAAACTCGCCGGCTGCAATGTACGTACGCTGAAGTCAAAAATCAACGGAATTGAGAAATTTTTTCATGTATTTGATTAATAAGGAATTGCATGGTTTCTCGTGCAATTTGAAAAACAGGCACTCGTGAGTTTTTCAAAGACTTCAAATTGAATTGTCCTTAGGACTTTTGATAGTCTTTGAAAAACTTACTCGTCCATGTTTTTCCCAAGTTGCACTCGAAACAATGCTATTACTTATAGAAAGTGCACCTGATTAGTTAGTCAAACAAAAAGGTAATCAAAATAGAGCCAATCGAAATAAATCATTTCAATGGCGGGAAATTTAAGTTATTGTAAACAAAAGCAAATGGATACAATGGCTAGCGTAAATATTAAGTAGATTTCTTTAGAAACCGAGTCTACAGTTCTGTATTTGGAAGACATTTCCGAAAATGCGAACACTTCTGGTTATAGCTACCTTGTTTTGGCTTTGTGTTTGGAAGCAATGGTGTAAAAATTATTTGAACGAATTAAAAAATTACGAGCCGGTCGATAGTTATAACTTGCCAGTTGAACCGTACGACGCTCAAGTCAAAAATTAACAGAATTGAGAAACTCTTTTATTTAGCTATATTATTAAATTATTTTTATGCAATTTGTAAATAATGGACTCGTGAGTTTTTTTAAAACTTCAATTTGCATCTCGTATGCAAACTACTTATAACTATAAAAATATGGTTTGGTGCTGGTCAAAGTTGCAAAAAAACTGCGGGTAGACTGGTACTATCGGCGAATAAAATTTTCGAGGATGATTCAAAGTTGAGTACTGGAAGTTAAGCACATGCATGCATGTACCCGTAACACCCGGTTCGCATAGCTGATGTGAGTAATATGATGTTGTTTTGACGAAGATTTTCAAAACATGATATCCCACCCTGACGAAGATTTAACTTTTTTATAAACTCTGGTGTTGCTAAATGACAAAAGAAATATTGGGCTATATAACTTTAAAACAAGATGAAAGAAATGTAGAATGCATGTCCATAAGATAACTCCCATTGATTTTTTTATAACTAATACAGTTCATGCACTTATTTTAAAACATAGGTATATCATCCCCCCAATTATCGTTCTGACTACGTGCCTGCCGGCGTGTAAAAGATTTCAATAGATTTGTTTTTATAAATACATGCTTAAGTTTCCAAACAATTTATAATTAGAGCGGGCTTACCTCCCCAAGACTTTGATGCAAATCCTCCAAAAATACAACCTCCATATTTAACAATGACCAGTGTTGGTCCCTTTGAGTCACAACAACTGTGGAATGTACTTGCTCTCCATCCATTCGATGTTGCTTTGTAACAGCGCTTCGTCTTTTTGCCATATAAATTCGAAGGTAACCATTTTTGAAGCTTTCCTATCCATTCTTGTTTATTTTTCAGAATAACTGAGTTCTGCAGGATCACTATAGGGGTGACAATGAAATTTTATGTTAAATTTTTGAACGTTTCGCCCTTGTTTTGACGGATCTCTTTTTCATATAGACATTAAGGTGGTTTGTGAAATTCCTCGTTTGAAACACGTCGCTAACACATACAAAAAGTTACGTATAACACCTCCAGTTAGACAACAAAGTTCCTCTAAAATCTGCGAGGAAGCCGTAGAATATTTTACCTAATATAAATTCCTAATATAGTGTACCACAAATTTTTTCTACGTTAGCTAAATGTGTTTACAATATCGTTTAAAAGGTGTTTACAATTTCTTCAAAATACATCACATTACTGGTGACAAAGATAGTTCACTTATATTCCAGAAAAGCATTTTTAACCTTCATAAATCAGTTTTAGCCATATTTTTACTCTAAAATGCACTCGCTTTACCACACAAAAACATGGTTTGAAGCTTGCTTCTGGCAGTTATCTGTTGCACCGAAAACTTCCAAGTTGTACTTTTTTTTATTATTAGTTATTTATTCTGTGCACCTGTCCTTTATATTCGGCAAAAAAATTAGACTACGAAAGACAGATTTGAAAATTATATCCCATTTTATTTCTTCATGTATGCATTTATCATTTCTTATAGTTTTGTAAAGATGGCTTTTGCATGATGTTCCAATTTTACGATATATTTCCATGGTTTAAGTTTGGTGTAGGTATATATACCAAGACGCACGCGATTGTAGTTAACTAATAAACATTATTATCATTATTATGATGCCATATTTTCTTTAAAATTTGGTGTTATAACTTACATGGCGAAAAATAAAATGCTTCCACTTCGTTTGGAATAAATTTGTACGAGCCAGCCAATAAGTTCTTTGCTTTTGTGCTCCCGTAAGAATAGCCAGATGGGAGCTTGTATGTATAACCAAAGTTTGTGTAAAAATTGGAATAGGACACAGCATTGTTGGCGATATAAATGTCGTGACCACCACCAAATGTTGGTCCATAGCTGCTGTATGTGTACATTGAATATTGTTTGTATCTTGTAACATTGGATTTAAAGGGTGCAAGATTATCTATGTTTTTAAAGGAGAAAATGAAAGCTTCTGGTGCTTGTATGTAACCAGAACGTCCTACTGTAATTTAACAGTAATACACAAAACACTTGAGTTAAAAGTTTCATATATGAAGATGATGTTGATATTTTCTATTTCACTAATCAAACTTTATGCTTCTTGACTGAAACAATGACCCGCTATACAAAACTTGCCATGAATTACTTTTGAAATTCAAGATAATTTGTTCACAATTTTTGCTAAGATTTCACTTCTTTATGAAAAATTCGATGAGGATTAATTCTTAGATATAAAGTCAACGTAAAATCTTAGACGTGCAGATATAAGACAACTCCACTTAGCCTTATTCAATCAGTTCGTCATATTTTTATTGTTATCATATTGAAATAAGCACTAAGATTGGCTTAACTATTGTTTGCTTACATATATATTTGTAATATTCCGACATGAGGAAGTTCCAAGCCTGTATATATCTATAGATTCCCAATAAAAGGTACCGAACATGCAAATGATATCTGTGTTATCCCTTACAAAATTTGCATTATATTATAAAAACTATTTTCTTCTGCGTGCCACATCATTTTTTATCTTACAATGACCACTGAATTCAAAAGGTATTCACATGCAATTAATGTCATATAAGTCACTCGACCTTACCTCCCCAAGATTCTGATGCAAATGTCCCAAACACATACGATCCCTTTTTAATAATAACCAATGTTGGTCCTTTTGAGTCACAGCGACTGTGAAATGTCCTCCCTCCCATCCATTTTTCGTTGCTTGGTAACAGCGCACCGTCTTTTGTCATTGAAGTACGAAGGCAGCCATTGTTGAAGCTTTCCTATCCATCTCTTTTTGTCCTTTAGAATGCTTGAGTCCTGTAGGATTGCTAGACGTGAAAATAAAATCTTATATGAAACGTTTGAATTGTATGCTTTACTAAGCAAACTCTTTATGTAATATAAGGCACAATAAAAGGTCGTTTAATTCTACAAGAGCATTTAACACAGATTTTAGTAATATATTTTATCACCTTATGTTATTAAGACATGGTCTGACAGTGACGTCGCTTGCGCTTTTAAAGGAGAGAAAGAATTTTGGTTTTGCCAAGAGAAATGTGAATTTAGCCTATTTATTTACCCCTGAATCTTTTCTTTATGCAATACATGCATATATGTTGCAGTTTGGCATTTACTGATAAAACAGCATTTACCAAACAACGCAGTGTAACCACATCCCTCATCTAACTTATTACACACCTCATAGCTACCTCACTGTTTTTTAGAGTAAGCTAAAAACATTAGATTTAGATAAGTCAGATTTGAAACGTATATTCCATTTCATAAAGTAATACAATATTACCACAATAACATGAGCTCTTCGCGAGCTCAATGTAAATTTATGCAGTGCGCTGCTGGATTTGATTTTATTTAATTTATATCATTTGACTCGTTTTAACTCGAACATGCATACTAGTAATAATATACATAGAACGACAAAGTGTTCTCTTATCCCCATGTATATTACTAACCTTGGGTAAAAACTATCTTTATAACAGCGCAAAATAAGACCATGTTTCAAAAGGCGTCCCTCAGCAAAAGGTCATGTAAAAAAAGCTGCGTAAAAAAAAGTCATTGTTTCAAAGGGGGGTAAAAATTTCGAGGCTATAATCTATAGTTTAAAAATATGGAATCTATATGTTTTTGAAATATATAGGTGCGTTTAAATTTTATAAACAGTCTTTAATAATCAAGTGTTAATAATCAAGTGTTAATAATCAAGTGTTAATAATCAAGTGTTAATAATCAAGTGTTAATAATCAAGTGTTAATAATCAAGTGTTAATAATCAAGTGTTAATAATCAAGTGTTAATAATCAAGTGTTAATAAAGCATCTTTTAAATCGTTGTTAGGGGCGAAGAATTTCAGGCAACTAAGCCTGAAATTTTGAGCGAACAATGTCATAGATGCTCTTTAAAAAACTATGGAAACAATATATCTGTCAAGCGTGTGTCACATGTACATGTTTAACAATGTTTTATATAATTTTTGTTAAAAGTGTTTTTACTAATTGTTTCAGGATTTTGAATCTTTTTGTATATCGCTTTTGTATTAATTACTTATTACAAACAGTTATGTGATATGTAGTCAAACATGAGGAGCAGGTATGTATGATTTTACTCTAACAGAGGCCCACGCTACATGCTTACTACACATTATAACTGTTTATTAATATTTAGTTATTTGAACCGATATTATAATGGCCATAAGCTAATGTTGTTACACCATCATCTAATATATGTCGTTTATCATCAAAACAGCTGAGTGATACTTTATTAATTTCATAACTATTAAGTTGATGGTTTACACTTCTAATAGTTTTCATTGTATGATGCATTTGTTTGTTTTCAAATAATGTTGTTTTATAGTCTTCATGTTTTATTTCACTCTTAATAATATTTTTTTTAATTCCTTTAGCTTTTTTATCTCCTTTATTATTATCTTTAATATAACTATACATCTTGCTTCTTAAACCAACAAATTCTTTAACTACTATTCCAGCAGCTTCATCTTTCATTTTACCAATAACTTTTTTATTAGTTTTATCATGATATTTATGGTATTCTGGGTAATCACTGAAATCAAATTTATCTTTATCATTCCAAAAATCTTGATAGACATCTTCAGTTTCAATTTCATATGTTAAACTATCTGTGTCTGTGAAAAGAAGTTTAGCTTTATCACCATATTTCTTCTTGATATAATTGTAATGAAAATCATACATCAACGTTTTACTTAAATCTAAGATACACATGCTAACATATGCAGGCCTGTTAAGGGTTAGTGTTTCTTTGATCTTATGCACAGCCACAAGGTTCTCATTAAAGATCTTTGAACTTACATAAGTAGGTTTTGAAGTCAATTTTAATAATTTATTTTTATTAGTTACTAGTCTAACATCTACTCTTTTTCGTAAGTTTTCCATTGTCTCCCCTCATTCATTAATTTGAAGAAGTCTTTTTCAAAAGAATTTCTTGCATTAGTTCTTTTTTGAGTATTAAAGTCTATGTATTTTTTCAACCATGGAGATTGATTAAATTTCAATACTCGGTGGACTTTAGTTAACTTTAACCCAAGATCTAGGTATAATTGAAGATTTCTATAATGCAGTACATACTTGTATTTATTTTGTAATGTAGGTATTAATTTTGAAACTAAACCTGTTGATATATTGTAATTAGAAGCAATTGTCTTACAATATTTTGACAGCATGTGGCTGGTTACCTTAACTTTTTCTGAGGCCACAGGATAATCATTATGGAAATTATGTAATTCTTCAGGGTATTCTAAATCAACTTCTAAAATTAAACCTTTTTTGCTATCTGCTTGATATTCAGCAAGGTTTATGTTGTTAATCTGTTTCTCAGTTAACCATTTGAAACCACCAGTAGGCAAGTTTTGTGACATAGCCCATCCATATAAATTGTTTGCGTCAAGATACATTATATATTTTGAGGGTTTATTCTTATCAAATGTTTCCATATACTTGTTATTTGCTTTACCATATCGATTAGAAATATAAGAAACACCCCCTCTCATACCCTTTTCAATGAATTGAAACATGTTAATATCAGTCATTAGTTCTAATTTAATATCTGTCATCTTCAACATTGCATCCCAAGACAACCCAGGAGATGTGAAATAGTGGCATGGATCGAGTTTATAGTATTCTAAGCATGTTTTTCGAAAGTTTTCAAATACATCAGTTAATAACAAAACATCTGATTTCAGATACAGGTCGTGATACTCACCCATGTTTTTGAGATTGAATGTATTCCATACTTTTTGTGCATGCTTATAAGAATCATCTGATATATTCTCATCAGTAAGAATACTATAAAAGTCTTTTTTTGAAGGCAACCCCTCATTAAACTTTTCAAAGCTATCCATATAATCATATGGGTATATACCTTTTTTAGTCATTAAATTAAGTTTTTCACCTTTAAACTGCTTAGAGGTGTATTTAAACGATTCTTTAGGTAGGTTACTAACAAGCTTTTCTAAACTAGAGCTCATAAATTGAAAACTATCAATGAAGGTGAGATGGTTACCTAACATGAAAGCCATATACTTTTCCATGTTATTTGGTATAGCATTTATATTCATATGTGTTTCTTCACCTTTTTTGTTTTTATATGTATGGTTTTTAACAATAGATCCTATTTCTTGCATAATGAAATGTGAATCATACCCTCGAAGATTATGAAAAATTACTGGGATCTTTAATTTATCAGGGGCTATTCTAAGTTTTAAATTACAATCTTGATGTGCTGAGCCTCTATATTTTCCAGTGATATGGCAATGGTCTCGAACCTGAATGTCTTTGTTAGTATATTTTTTGTTACAGATATGACATTCATCAGCTTTTTTAAATTCTTCTTCATCATCAGAAGTCATTTTTAATGGTTTATTAAAGTAGGTTTTCATAATATTTTTACAATATTTAACTTCTTTTAACATAGCTTCCATAAATTTGTAAACAGCCTTTTCACCTCTATATTTGAATTTGTTTAGTAAATTGATCATCATAGCAACAAACAACTTTATACCCATAACCACAGTCAGTATGTTTTGATAGGCTTCTGTATATGAGTTACCATTATCTTGTTGGCAACCAGATATCTTTTCTGTAATAGCTTCAAAATCAGCGTATATAACAAATGGAACAGCTTGTTGTTTATGATAGTTGTTGAATTTCAGTATGTTATTATTTTTATCAGGCATTTTACTGATTGTGTACCATTTATTAATATACAGTTTTCTATATGGTTATTTAATATTTTTTCAGAACTAAAACATTGAAGGCAGCGCATACAAAAGTGTTTCCTTTCCTTATGCTTTGTATGATTATACATAAATGCATTAAAAATTTTTATTAGAATATAATGTTTGTTTTCATTATCAG